CTGAAACCGTCTACCAAGCCCTTCAAAATAACGGTGAGGCTCGTGCCGTGGCCCTAGACATCACCAAAGCGTTTGGGGCTGTATTTTTTTTTAATTACATTTTAGTGTTTGTTCGTTCATTTATATTTTTGTTGTACAATTTTCAGGTTTACAAACCAAAAATTAACGCTTAGTATATGTAAATGGGATATAAGATTTTTAATCCTTATTTTGAATTACTGCTGATAAATATTGTTAATTGGGAAAAAATTTAACGAGTTTTTGTTGAAAAAAGAAATTCCGCATTAGCTAATCGGAAAAATGAATTGTCCTTGCATGATTTCAAAACAGACAAAAAATGTGACAGATTGAATTTGGAGATTTTATTTCATCGATTTTGCGCGATTTAGCCAAATCGAATTAGAACAAAACAAGACCGCTGCTTTGCACGACTTCTTTTTTTTTATCGAAATTTACGTGCATCCGTACACTTGGATAGTCTGTAAATCATCCAGCCATTTATTTAACAATTAAGAACAAAAGGTTTACCTAGTGCAATGGCACCTAGCACCCTTTAAAAACTTTCCTTGGAATTTCTAACTATTATTCCAGTCAGTTTCACTTTTCAAAACATTCTACAATTCTGTCTTGTCACGATCTCTGTAATCTCGCCCACGGTATGATTTCTTTTAACAGCAATTTCAGCTTTGGAGAAAAACATAAGGGACAAATCAGTACTGTAGATAGATCCGAGTGATGCAATGTTTTGCAAATGAATAAATTAATAAATAAATAAATTTGTAGGCGACGTGAAAAACGAGTAGGTACACTATCCTGATGAAAACACTAGTTAAGCAATACATAAGAAGGTCACTTAACGGTGACTTATTGCCCACCGAATAACACCACCGGAAAATGTATATTCATGCATGATTGGTTGTCAAGTTACATCAAGTCCATGCAAAAGGTTCTCGAGATATTCAAAATGGCTGAATATTTTTTGGAAATGCACCATAATCATAAAAGAAAAAACTTTTGTGTGCAACATTTAAAGACAGCTGAATGGAAATCGGCTGGTATAATAATGCGCGGTTATATCTTAACCCTTTGAGCCTTGGCCACCACTTTACCGGTGGTAGAGAAAAATGACGTAATGCCCAGCCACAGGTTGAACAGTGGTGTAGTGAAAACAGAAAGCCCGAATAAACTTAAAGATAAGCTTTATTCCTCTTTATCAATACATGTGGAAAAAAAATCAACTGCTTATACGTACAGTCGATTGTTCCATTCTCAACAGGGGTGGAAAAGAGATCTCAATTACTTCTGGATACTACAAGTGGTAGAAAAAAAATGACAATGCCCAGCCACCGTTTGAACGGTGGTAGAGAAACATGACGTAATGCCCAGTCACCGGATGAAGTGGTAGAGAGAAATGACTTAATGCCTAGCCACCGTTTGAACAGTTGTAGAGAAAAATGACTTAATGCCCAGTCACCGGTTGAACAGTGACAGAGAAAAATGACTTAATGCCCAGTCCCCGGTTGAACGGTGGATAAACACTTGTAACTATTTTTATATCTACTGTGAAACATTACATACCAATTATTTGCGAATTTTGACTCAGTAGCTCAGACAGAAGGGTTGAAAATGTTTAGGAACGCAGAGCTCATTTATTTTAACTGTTATCTGTTTTCATATTAGCATGAAAACCCTAAGACTGACCATTGTGAAATTAGGACACAATAAATTATTCATTTTTTTCTCAACTGGAAACTGAGTAAAATAATACCTTTCCAACTTGAGATTCAATACCAGTCATTTTGTATATATATTGATGGCTTTAACGATATTTGATATTTCACAACGGAAATGTAGAAATACTTTGACATATGATATATCTTTAATTCTACGAGTAATGCAATTAAAAGAGGATTGCAAACGTTTCATATTTGACTGCACCGGGAAAATCGACTTTTTTTTTATAATAGTTTCGCACCGCCATGACATGGCTTCTCTCTATCTAAATATTTTCATGGCAGTTGTTCTAATGAGCTCTTCTCCGTTGTACCCCGAACGCATAAATCTAAGAATACTAGATTAGCTACAAGGGCTCTATACTACTGAAATATCCAGATGCATCTGTAAGTTCTATTCTAATACTTTCTTTTCTCGCACTACTCACATGTAGAACTCTCTTCCGATTTCTTGCTTTACTGCCATCTATAAATGTTAAAAAAAAAGGCGTAAATGCAAAGTCAATTGCCAACTTCTGTCTTCCTGAATCTTTTCATTCTCTTCCATTTCCGGTAATTCTTGCGTCTTAGTGACATTATCACCTTGCTTGGGGTGGTAATACAGTGCGGGTTCGTCAAAGACACTGGAACAAGGAACGCGAGATTTATGCACAGAATGTTATCAGAAAGAGTAATATGAATGCAGAAAGACGTGTTCCTGTGTTTTATAGATTATGCAAAGACGTTCGACAAAGTACGTCACGAAGATCTGTCAGAGCTGCTCAGCAAGCTTACATATTCGGGAAAGACATTAAAATAATCAAGAATCTATACTGATAGCAAACCGCCCGTATACAGATAGAAAATGAGTTCAGCAGATATACAAAAATAGAAAGACAAGGATGTATCTTCTCGCCGGACTTATTCAACCTATACAGCAAGGCAAGTCTGCGAGAACTAGAAGTTCTACTAGGATTCATTATTGGTGGCTACAATTTTAACAGCATAAGATGTGCAGATGTCATAGTGGTCATAGCAGACACAGAAAGAAAACTAAACCAACTCCCACAGAAAGAAGTGAAAGAAAGCGAGAAGAAAAGACTAAGCATAAATTTCAAGAAGACAGAATCCATGGTTGTTAGCAAAAGGAGGGGCCCAAAGTGCGAATTGCAAATCGGGGATACCAAAATCAAACAAGTGCGGAAATTTAAATATCTAGGAAGTGTTTTAACAGAGGACACGGAAAGTACGACACCGAAATTCGAAGGCGTACTGAACTGGGATAGCCAAAGATGTATTCAAAAAGCTAAGCAGAGTATTAAGAAATAGAAAAACTTCGCTGGAAACAAGGAAAAGAGTACTAAATTGTTCGTGATATCTGTCTTTAAAGCAACAAAAACTTGGTTCTACAGAAGGTTGCTGAAGATACCATGGACTGAACATGTAATAAATGACGATATTTTAGATAGAATAGAAACAAAAATAAAACTTATACTTAATATCATGAAGAGACAATTGAGGGCTTTAGGATATATAATAAGGAAAGAGGGCTTGGAAAATCTGATACTCACAAGACAGATTTTGGGCAAGAGTGACAGAGGAAAACAACGCATAACATATTTAATGCGCATAAGTAAATGGATGGAACAGGGTTTGGGAGAGATAACAGAAAGACAACGTTTATTAAGAGCTAGAATTGACAGGAAGTTGTGGAGATCCATGATCATCAAGCTCCTGAACGGACACGCTACATACAGAAGAAGAATAAAAGAAATAATTCTCTAGCGAAGGAAGGAGGAGACACAACAATCTGGTTTAATAATGTCGTAAGAGTTGCATGAGTCAACAGCATTTTTAAATTATCCAGTCTCTTTTCTATTTTTTATTTTCTAGATGTTCAGCTAATACATGACCCAAGGGCCACTCAAAGTAGACGGTTCCTGAGTGAGGTTGTTGTGTGGACGTAAGAAGAGGACGTGTGAAGATTATGATGATATGATAAATAACGGTTGAGCTTAGACTTGAAGATGTTAAGATTGTAGTGATCGGGAAAACACCCTCTAGGGATTCTGTTCCTTGGAAAAAGTTCAGGGTTTGCTCTGTGATGATAAACATTACGAGTTTGTTTTGGAGGTATTAAATATTACGAAGCAGGAGAGTTGTGTGAAAGTAGCTATCCCAGTCAGCTTTTGAGTATTGAAAGATTGCTGTGTGTAATGGGACGGCTTTGGTTTTTCCATTGATCAGATAATTTTGGGAAGAGCCGAAGGGAAATAACACTTCAGCAGAATATTTGTAAGGACAGGAAATGAGAAAGATGTCTCGGAGATTTGCGTGATTCCCAGTTATATCGGAAACACGGATAGGTGTATGCAGTGGTGAAGTCATTGCTTCTTCATTTAATAAGCACTTCTGAAAATTGCCACATATATAAATGCTAGCTGATATTTTTGCAATAGTAAGTTCTCAGAAAGGAAGAAAGTTACATGAAGTTACAGTTTGGGAACAGTGTGATTTATGAAGATAAAAATGTAGGGAGCGCATGATTTTTCAGTCAGTTCTTTGTTGTATCGGTTCCAGTAATTACTACGGGCTAAACAGGAAGTGGTAAAAAAACGGTGATTAATCTAAAATGTACCTAAAAAAAAGGGGCCAAAAAAATGAGGCCAGCAGTAAAATAAAACAATAGAGGTGCCGTATTCTGGCAACAGAACACATACTAGCGCCAGGCGAAATCAGGGTCCTCGTTTTGGGGATATCTGTCACATGGGGACCCATCATTGATGTTGTTGTAGAGTAGTTTTCACAGTGGAGGCTTGTATTTCACTAAGTCGGTCCTAAATTAGGTTCGACGTACAAAACGTTAGGAACTTGAAATAATAGTTAATGACGCAGCAATCTAGTTGCGACATCGACTGACTCACACAACTCACTCAGCTTCACTGGCGACTACTACTACTACTACTTATCGGTGGGAGAGTCTATTTACAATAGAAATACGTACGTTCCGGTATAACAGATATAAACCCCAATTCTATGTTTATGGTGATTTAGAGGGTCATGATTGTACATTCTCGAAGTGGATTAGACTGAAAATTGCAACAGTCCAGAGCGTAAAGTCAGGTTTAACCTCTTGAAGATGGAGTTCAACTTTTTGAAAGACGTAACATGGACCCTTTATATTAGCTTAGGAAATAGAGAACTTGGATTCCTCTTTTGGGATAACTGGGTTTGATTTGTTTGTTTATTTACTCATTTTAATCCTTTTCCAAATTCTTCCTTTTTTTCATGTTCTTTATTTTTGCCACATTTAAATCTTTATCATTATTGTTTTTCTTCTTTCTTCTCATACTTTATCTTTTTCGCAATTTGTCTTTTTTACTCTATCACCACCCCTTTTTTTTCTTTCGTTGCTTTTTTCCTCCCAAGATGTATTTTTCGTTATTTATCGCTTCTTAATTTAGATTATTTTTTCCGTGACATTTTACAATTTTTTTTATTACAGCTTCCTTTCTCACGTTCCCTTCGTCATTGTTCGTTTTTTTTGTGTCATTTTTCAGACTTTTTCTTGCCATTTTTCAGACTTTTTCTTGCCATTTTTCAGACTTTTTCTCTTTCTTATTTTATCGTCTAATTTCTCTCTCTCTCTCTCTCTCTCTCTCTCCTTCCTTCTATTGAAACGTCCTTTCACCATTCGTTAAACTTACTTTACTCACTTCCTTCGTTTTCTAATTCTCTATCTCTTTCTTTCTTTCTTTCTTTCTTTCTTTCTTTCTTTCAGTTGCTACCTTTAAAAATGTGCTCCCGTTCTTTCTACCATAACTTCTTCCGTCCTGATTACTTTTCAATCTAATTCTTTACACAAGGAACATTTCCTTACGGCAGTAAAAATATTGCTTAACAAGTTTGACATCCTGGCACTGAAATATATCGCAATACCTATGGTTTATCTTTATATTTGAAGGATGAAATAAACATTAGGCTACGGATGCATTGCTACGAACCAACCATCGGGCATCTGCAATTTGTTCAGAGACATGCAAGGAAGCGATATAAATTAAGATAAAAATAGTGAAATCTGGAAAAGTTTAAATGTCGAAAAATGTTCCCCGCTACTCTTTCTTTTGAACCAGTTTCTTGCTCTTTATATATTTGTCCACCTTTGTAAAGCTTACCTCCCTATATATATATATATATATATATATATATATATATATATATATATATATATATATATATATATATATATATATATATATATATATATATATTATAAATTAATTGATTTAAAATATGTTTTTTTCGCTACACAGTTCTAACCATGTTTCAAAAATGGAAGCTGAAAGTCTGAATTTAATTTTGTAATTAAATTAAAGACATTAGTTCCATTTCATCCTCAAGCGAATTTTGGAGTAACTTTTAAAATTATTGGGTTTTAAAGACACAGCAAAAATCAACACCGGATTATATATCTTACTGTTTTTTTCTTTCTTTCTTTTATATATATATATATATATATATATATATATATATATATATATATATATATAATAGAGAGTGTTGTGGCGTTGCGTTCAAATTCTTACAACGACAGATATTTACTAATGTAGTTTCTATTGTTCTATGTACCTAATAGCTTCAGGAGTTTATGAAGTTTTTTTTTTTTTCACAGTGCATAACAAATGCATTTTTGTAAAAAAAAAAGAAAAATGCCATGTTTTTCTTTCTAAAGTAATATTTGTCGACTTTCTCTGTTTTCAATGTTTTGTTCAAAATATCATTCATTCATTTAACCTGAGTATATGAATGCTAAGATCAGTGAAAATAACAGAGAAAGAAAGAAAGATATAACAGGAAAGAAATCGACATATAATAAAGAGAGATATAATAAAGAGAGATGAGAGAATGTTAAGGAGAGAAGAGGGGAATTTCAAAGAAACCAACAGAATAGAAATTTTATTCACCAACCTGATTCTTGGTTTAATTCATGCGTACAATCCTCATCATTATGCGATAATTAACAAGTTTGTCTTACATATCCTTATTACTGAGTTGAGAGTTGAATTATAACAGTGTAACGTCATCTTGTATTCAAATTAAGTAAGACATAGTAATTAACTCAAGTGAAGATGTTAAGACAAACTGAGAGCGAAATGCTAATCTGACTCTCTCGGCCGATAAATTAGATCCGTTCACTTAATACTGATTATTATTACATGTTTTAAAATAAAATATTACAACATATTAATATCATCTATATAATAAATGTGAATGTCACTGTGTCACACGTTTTCAACTTTACTCCTAGAGGCCGTAGCCCAATAAAATTATACCATTTTGGAATCAAGCCGACTCCGTGAGCAAACTTAAATCATTCCGGGCTTGATCCGGACCCGCAATCGTGAAATTTGGGATTTCCAAGTTTTCATTACTGCGATTGTTTTCGGATTCCGCCATCTTGGTTTCTACTGATAAGAAAATTAAAGGGACACAACTCTCTAACTTTCAATAGCTCATATTCAAATGAAAAAAATAACTGTTCTCAAATTACAGTGTTTCAAAATAAAAATATCCGTGTTTTCAACTTTACTCTTAGAGGCCGTAGCCCAATAAAATTATACCATTTTGGAATCAGGTCGATACCGTGAGTACATTAAAAACATTCCAGGCTAGATCCCGACCCACAATCCTGAAATTTTGGATTCTCAAGTTTTCATTATCGAGATTATTTTCGACGATTTTTTACATGATTTTTTGCGACGAAAAGTTCGATAACAATTTTTATAACTTGGAAATAAATTTGGAAATGATCAAACTTATTTGTGAAATCCATCGAAAGTCACCCCTGAAATAAAAATAATTGTTTGTACGTACATCAAATTGTCTTTAAAGTAAGTGGCAATAGAAGAATTATCCTTGAACTTTTAAAAAGTAAGCTTAAATAGTAATGCAATACTTAAATGCAGCGATCAAATTTGATTTTTTCTGTAGCTTATTGTTTCCTATCGCATCTACTATTATGATGAAGGCCTGATCAAGAGTCCTCCGCAGGAGCTAGCGTAAGTGCCGCCCGAAAACGTTGTGATATTATTATCAACTTGTTGGATTTTTCAAAGTATCGAACAGATATATTTTAATCCATATCTTCCTGGACACAATATATGAAAAAGACATAACTTTTTTCCTATATATTTTTGTCCAAGAAACTACAATAATTCTCCGAATTTATCTTGATATCCTCTTCAGTTTTGAAGGAAGCTTTTATTTTACTGTCTATAACACTATCGCAAAAAATATTCCTCTGCAAGTCGTGTTGGTTGACTATTTCTATGAAGGAATCATGCATAGCCCAGTCATCAGGTCCATTGAGTGTAGCTTTACTGTCATCACTAAAATTACAACTGATAAATAAGTTTACATGTACTTCGCCGTTTCTTTTTGGGATGTTTACTGGCAATTTGTTTGCTTTCATGTCAAATATTCGGTTTCTTTTCCCTGTTTACATTGACAATACCAACTTCTTCAATTATTGTCTTAAAAGTCAATTCACAGTATTTTTATTGTTTTTTTTTTATCTTGTGAATGCTTTTAACTTCTTTCTATTTGTTGGTCCATGTTCAACCTTTTCACAATTAGCAACGTCGCGTTTTCATCATTTTAGAATATCGTGTTTCAACTTTGAAGCTATATCTCTCTTCTATAATCTTTTTTTATTATTTTTGAAATCAATAACTATAAAATTTAAATACTTATTTACAATGTGATGAACAAAAAAAAAATCGATTTGCATAGTAAATTTATAAAATAGTATCGAATCTGATTAGGTTAGAATTATTTTATTTCTTCTCTTAGAATGTTCCCTTTGTCCTGAAAGAAATAAACAATTGTGTTATAATTTTTAAAATAATTTATAAAGTGAATTATAATTCATAAGATACATGAATAGAAAAATAAAACATTTTATTTAATTCTTTTTCCTTTGTCAGTTTTTCTTTCTTTCTTTTTTCTTTGTCAGTTTTTCTTTCTTTCTTTTTTCTTTGTCAATTTTTCTTTCTTTCTTTTTCCTTTCTCGGTTTTTCTTTCTTTCTTTTTCCTTTGTCAATTTTTCTTTCTTTCTTTTTCCTTTGTCAGTTTTTCTTTCTTTCTTTTTCCTTTGTCAATTTTTCTTTCTTTCTTTTTTGTCATTTTTTCTTTCTTTCTTTTTTTTTTTTTCTTTCTTTTCTTTTGTCAATTTTTTTTTTTTCCTTTGTCATTTTTTCTTTCTTTCTTTTTCCTTTGTCAATTTTTCTTTCTTTCTTTTTCCTTTGTCAGTTTTTCTTTCTTTCTTTTTTCTTTGTCAATTTTTCTTTCTTTCTTTTTCCTTTGTCAATTTTTCTTTTTTTCTTTTTCTTTTCAATTTTTTTTCTTTTTTCAATTTTTCAATTTTTCTTTTTTTTTTTTCCTTTGTCAGTTTTTTCTTTCTTTCTTTTTTCTTTGTCAATTTTTCTTTCTTTCTTTTTTCTTTGTCAATTTTTCTTTCTTTCTTTTTTCTTTGTCAATTTTTCTTTTTTTCTTTTTCCTTTGTCTGTTTTTCTTTCTTCCTCTCGTTGATCTCTCTTCTTCAGTTTCCTCTTTTATCCATTTTTTTTCCCTTTTCTTATATTTATACCCTCTTTCTGTTGAATATCAATACAAAAGCACGCGAAGAATCTACCAAAAAAAAACTTTTATTTCTCTGTGTGGATGAACACATTTCTACGGGCATATTTTACACCGACTCTAACAGGAAGATCAATATAACCATATCAAATGGGAATGTGTTTTTTTGTGAATGCATGCGTGTACACATTTTTTCATTCAACTTAGAAGAAAAAATTAAAATCTGGGGAAAAATTCAAATTATTCACCATTAGATTGTGTGCCTCGTTAAAAAATAATAAAGATGGAAAATATGTCTTCGAGGAGTTGTAAGCTTTAATAACAACAACATTTCTGTTGTAACATTCAAACATGCACTTTATTTATTTCGGTTTTAGTACTGGGTTGATCTGTGTCACAATTATTAAATGGAGACTACAAGGCCAACGATACGAGGTTTATTAAAAAGCTTCTAAGCCTCACCCAGAAAGAAGAGGCATAGCTGAACATTTTTGTTGTGGTAATACACTACCTCTTCTTATAAAACTAGAAAAACTAATTCAGATTTCTGTCTTAATTTCTGTGTAGGCGGGGTCCGTACAAAGGTGAGATGTGTGTGACAAATTTAAAAATGGGCAAAACAGAGGCCTGAGCAGTCATAAAATATCTGCAAAAGAAAGGTATGACACTCAAGGAAATCCATGAGGACTTGACACACACATTTGCTGAGGAATTCCTTTTCTCTGCGACTGTGAAGAGATCAGCTGTAGAATTCAAGCAGAATAGGTATAGCACGGACGATGACCCTCGGTCAGGTCTTCCAAAAACAGAAACCACAGATGAACAAGTTGATGCCATTCACCATATGATTTTGGATGACAGACGTCTTACTGTCCAGGAGATAGTTAAGTCAACAGGCATTGGTTCTGGTTCGATTCATACTGTTTTAACTGAGATCTTGGAGATGAGCAAACAGTTGGCAAAATTAATCCAAAGAATGCTGGCACCAGAGCAGAAGCTAAAAAGGGTCGGCATTTCCATTTTGAATACAAAATTTTTACTTCTATTTGAAACCCAACCTTAATATTTATCATTTTTATGCCACTTTAGAACACGCGAAAATGTAAGAATACATGAATTGAATGTGCAAAAACCAGTGTTATAATTAATTATATTATTTCTAACTAAAGAAGACCTGAAGAAGACCGGAGCGTGCAACGGCCGAAACGTTGTGAATATGACAATGAAGATGAGGATAACAGTCCGAATAATGTAAATAATGCAAGTAATCATAATACATCATCTGAGAGATCCAATCACCAGAAGAAGGCCGAAGCGTACAACAGCCGAAACGTTGTGAATATAGCAATAAAGATGAGAATAACAGTCCGAATAATGTAAATAAACAAGATTTCTATCTTTAATTTCAAAATTTCGTTTGATTTTTCATTTACTATTTTAATAGTAAATGAAAAACCCAACGAAATTTTGAAATTAAAAACAGAAACCTTGCTCATGTACATTATTCGGACTGTTATCCTCATCACCATATTCACAACGTTTCGGCTGTTGTACGCTTCGGCCTTCTTCAGGTGATTGTAATTCCGAACCGAACGTCTTTATCGACTGGGCCATGTGCCCAAATAATGTAAATAATCATAATACCTCATCCCAGAGATATAGACAGAGAAGCCTTGCATAAATAAAGACTTTTACTTAATGGAATTTTGTTGATGATTTAGACTGCAATTTTGATGCAACTCTTATTTTTCAGGTTACGTTGATTTTTGTGACTATCTATAAAATGATTGGCGCTTTGTTTTAGAATTATAACTACAGGCCCATGATCCATCGTATGATTATGATGTGAAAGTTATCTCTGTTTTAACATTTGAGATCCGTGCAGACAAAGTGATGTTACTTCTTGTCGACGCTCAGCAGTGTCAGGAAAAGTTTGTAGCAACAAGTCTCATGTTCAGAACATTCTGTACGACATTTATTCGTTCCCATCCCACAAACAACAGGAATTGTTTATGAGTCTCACAGAAAATTTCACGCACTTTTGTAATATTTTCCGATGTCATATTAACGGACACATAGAAAAGACATTGTCTTAAACATTAAACTTAAGTGTTTATATCATTCTGACGCAGAGTATTATCAGAGTATTAAGCATTCGATAAGTTTCTGCGGCATTATTAACGAAATGATAGGAACGTGGATTTGTACGTTGAGTCACAATAATGTTAGCTATCTAATTAAGCCTTTTATATGATGTAACCTCAGTACTTAGCTGTTACAAGTATTTCCAAGACTATAAACCTTCCTGGAGCAGAACCACAGGCTTAAACATGCTCTGTTTACTAGCAGCGGCGGGAGCCTTTTTTACTCTTGATCCTGATGATGTAGATTTGCTCACACTCATATGTCGTGAAAATATCAGTTACCACCAGGTTGTCACGCGTATCACAAGCTTTTTGTCCTGGAAATTATCACCCATGGCGAGTTCATCAAAACGATTTAAAACCACCCTTGTACAATGAAAGATGTATAGCATATTTACTAACCACTAATTAATATGTCATTGCCATACAAACAAAATCAGACGAGTGCTTAATGTAAACCATATATGGCGCCAGTATGTGAGGGACGCATGATGAATAAGATTTTTTTCCTTAGAAATTTCTTTCTAATGTTAGGGTGCATCTTCCAAGCAGAAGCGTCTTGCAAGCCGGAAAATACGGTAGTTGATTAATAACAATTTGGAAATTCATGTTGCAATATTTTGCTGATCAAATGCTTCTTCAAGTCGGTAGTGTAGAATAAAAATTGGTTACAATCGAATTCTTGAGTATTAACTCAACTCTGTCAATATCTTTAGCTTTAATTAGGCATCATTTTCCCTCTGATTTAGTTTCAGAATCTACAAAGGACATTCCAAGGGACACTCCATTCCTGTTTTTTCCTAAACTACAACATACAGGGAGCACAATAACACCGTTGGATAGAGCAAATTTTTAGCTACGAAACATTATTTTTTGACATAATTATCACCTTATTAGCACGTTTTAACAATAATGAGCAAGGCCCTGTAAGCCGCTCTCATAAACGTATTACTTAACTGTGCTCATATCCACGGTTTAGTCTCCGTAAGCGTTCAGCAATCATCAATTACAATGGGTGCATTTTTTTTCGCATAGAGCAATTCAATTACGAATTACTGTTTGGCATGCACTTTCATGTCAAATACCATTTTACCAGACTGCTATCTGTAACAAAGTCAAAAAAGTAAAAGAAAAAAAAAGAAAGTTATTGGTGAAAAGGTTTAATCTATGTTACTATAATACTAACATCCGCCTCTGGCGTCGTGGGCAAAAATTGTTACAGGCTGTGTGTACACGTTGTGAGATAAACACGTGTGTCTCCTGAAATGCCCACAACAAACAAGAACCGATATATATGCACAAACAAATGAATATGTATTGACAACAAAAGTTACAATTGACAAAAACAATGTGTGTGTAACAAATGAATCTGGAAAGTGTGTGTTCCAAAGTATGTGTAGTGAGTGAAAGTGCGTATGTATGTATGTGTGTATGTAGTGTTCAATGCGTTTCTAATGCTGGGAAAAACACAATCTTCTGCAACTACATTGAGTCAATTGCTTCGTCCACCGCAAGGAAAGTTGGCTCCCTGTGCTGCGCCAGGAAATTTTTCTCCCCGGAATCGATCCTTCAGATCTACAAATGAACAATTCGCCCTTGCATGGAGTATTGCTGCCATATATGGTCGGGAGCCCCTACTGTTTGCCTCGGGGTTCTTGATAAGCTCCAGAGACGGATATGCAATATAATTGGCCCTGATCTGGTATCTCGTCTACAGTCGCTCTCTCATAGACGCGCCGTCGCTTCTCTCTGTCTTTTTTACAAATACTTTCATGGTAATTGCTCCGAGGAGCTGCATTCGCTGGTTCCCAGACTTCATGAGTTCAAGCGCCTTTCGAGGCTGGCATCCCGATCTCACCCTTTCACTGTTGAAACTATTAACTATTAAATGTAGCCATCTCTTCTACTCCAATAGCTTCATATCTCGCACCTTACGCCTGTGGAACACCCTTCCCAATTACTGTTTCCCTGAGAGCTATAATCTCCAACTATTCAAATGTAATGTCAATCGACATCTCCAGTTGCCTTGATCTATCCACTGTCCTTCTCCTCATCCTTTCCTCTATCACTCCTATCTGCTCTTGCTCCAAATCTTCTGTAACCCCTTGCGTCCTAGTGGCTTCCCGCCTTGCTTGGGGTGAAACGCTTAAATAAAAAAAAAAAAAAGAAAAAAAAAAAGAGATTTACATGTTGTCGTATTAGCAGAAAATTAAGAAAAGGGCGAGGAAAGATATCGCCGAGTATATAGTGTTGGAATGCGTCCCCTAGCGACAGTTTGGAAAATTAGGAAATTAGGAGAAAATAACCCGATAAAATAATAAGAGGCATTATTTACAGACTGATCTTTATGTTACGAAAGTTTTAAGAAAAGAATCTTGATATTCGACGGCAAAACATGGCCACAATTCAATTAAAGACTCGTAAAAGTAAAGACAGAAAGATGAAGAGGAAAGAGCAACGACAATAATTTTTGGTTTGGTTGATTTAAGTAGTTTTTAAAATGAAAATAAATTATTTCTATGCGTTTTAATTAAATGAACTAAATTAAAAGATTTTATAATGACATGCATTCTTTAAACAGCCCGATCATACATTTTTTTGTCATAAATTTATTATAGAGTCTCGCGACTCCGTTCATATTTCGTGACTTTGCCCTTCCTCCGTAGCGTTACTGACCTTTTTCTATGCGACGTATCGAGTTTATTTAGACTTAATGATCAACTACGTTTTTCATTAGATGTTTGATTTTTTGAGGTACAATCTAAATACTCCTTTTGAATAATTCATAACATTGTTTGTAAATTCTAGCAACTCAATATTTAATTATTAGCTATAAAGAAATTATGAAACTTCGCGTCTGTTGCAACAACACCCTTACATGACTTTTCGCCACAGGGGGACGAGAAATGGGCTATATTGTGACCATACTTACCTGGGACAGGGC